GGAAAGAGCTCACCAAACTGTTCAAGGCAGCTGCTTCTGGGAAGTGGAATTCTGAGCAGCTTTGATTTTCTTCTCTGTACTTTTCCACATCATCCAGTTGCTTACAAGGAGCATGTATTCCTTTTTCCAAAAGCATAAAGTTGTACATTTAAAAGCTCCAGAAAAGGGATGATTTCCCATTATGCATAGCACATATTTTGGGGAAATCATGTTTCAGGTGGTATCTGTATTTTGAATTATTTCTTTTACTGGTGAACACTATAATTCCTGAGAAGTGCTAGTGATCAATCCTAGGCTTTCCTGCATGATAGCTCTCTGACACCTCTGAAGCCATAAGACAATAGGCTGCACAGGCAGGATTCTATGTAGCCAGCAAAAACTGAGTTTGCCCCACCCAATCTTTAACTCATTCTCTTGGTTCCCATGTTAGAATTGAGGTAAGTGCTCTACCCGAGCTACAGATACAGCTTTAAAACTTTAAAGTTCTGTTTAAACAAAATAGAGTCATTTGAATGCCTCTCTTTACATACTTTTTCAAGTATTTTCACACATACCACTTCTCCCAGTGTTCCCAGACTTGAGGTAGGCATGGGTGACAGAATAGTCCCTGCTCCATGTTCACATTCCCAAGGAAAGTAATTTGGGGAACTACCTACCTTGCTCAAGTTCTCTTCGAGAACCCTGAGATCAGGGCAGTTTTCCTAACCCCAGTTCAATACCTTCTCATGAACACTGAGTGCCACCACGGTCGCTCAGACCCCACTTAACTAAAAAGGCACTTAGCAGTGCTGTCTTCCATGGTTTGGAGGGACTTGCAGGATAATAGATACCCACAGAAAGTAGAAAGTAGGGTATTCCCTGATTTATCCAAACTGGCTAAAATAACCTGTTTACACTTCCTTATTTACAATTTTCATTCACTTTAAAGATAACCAAAAAGCAAACGTTACCAGTCTCAAGTGGTTTTTGTTGTTGTTGTTTTGTTTGTTTTTTCCTGTTTCAAAACAAAGTAGCAAAGTAGCCTCTTGGAACCTCTCCTCAAATGTAGCAATGGTTCACAAAAAGTTTTTAAAATAAAATAAAACACAGATAACATAGAACAGACTCACAGGTTCACATTCTCAAGGTGGCCATTGAGATGTGATTTTGTCACCTGTTTACCCAATATGTCTAAGCCATTGTTACCAACAATCCCTGAATATTTACCTCCTGTGGACTTCATATTGAGCCAAACTACGTATCTTAAATAATAATGAATAATATTCCATTTTATACTCAAAGGCACATGTAGCAATGGCAGCTTTTATAACATGAGAATCAGAATCCTATCAAACTTCTTTGTAAAAAGCAAAACATTTAGTATTTTAGCCCTAAATATGATAGCCCTATCAAGGGAAGATATGTGTCCTTGTGATTTTCAGAATTAGATATGAATCTTAAATATCACATTCTTGTCCTGGATCTCAGGGACACTCAGAACCCTTGGTCTATGCAAGATAGACAGAGACCTTCCACAGAAAATAACAAAATGTGAAGTTCCTACAATAAAACCTGTTGAAAACTCTAAACTCAGACAGGAGTCAACAGCTTTTGCCATCAAAAGAACTTTCAAGTCAGCTACAAGACTCAGAATCCCAGGATTGCTACACAATGTTCCATAGAAACAAGTTTCCATTTTTAAAATAAAGGGAGGGGAGAAAACTTGCTTTATAAACATTTTCAGGGAGGTATTTCCTTCACAAGTTAAATACCCCTTTACTTGAAAACCAGTACCTAGTATAACTGTTATTACATGAAGCTTTCTTTTCTCCCTTCCACAGCTCTTGGAAAACTGAATAAATGCTGCTGCCCCAATTACAGAAGAGGATATACAAACCTTTTTTTTTTTTTCCCCTCGTGGCTCTAATATTTAAGTTTTCATTTCATGAAACTGTTCCTCAAAATTCTAGAATCATTAACCTAGCTAATAATATAATCAGATAAGCCAAGACTTGATCTTGTAAATATAAACTAGATGTCAGGGCTGAAAAAAAAAAAATCTTTTAGTTCAAAATAGGTAGGCAATAAGGCTCCTAATCTGGTCAGCAGGTATCAGACAGTAACCAAACACTATTTAAACTGCCATAACCAATCAGCTCACCCTCCCTCTTAGCTTTCTGTCCCTCCCCCTAAACAACAGAACAGCTTTATTCCAGGACAGAGTTCACATTGCCCAATGATTAAACATCAACATGTGTTCCTGGCCAGAGGGATAATTTTTATAATATTCTCCTGTTTCCACATCATCTGCCAGATTTACACTGTTACCTACAAGATGTATGTTAAACACGAAGCCATATATGATGCTGCAGAAATAAAATCATGGCCCAACATTAACCCCTACTGAGGCAGGAGTAATAAATGAATACAAGCACCTGCCAATGAGGAATGTGTTTACTAAGCATGGTTTTGTTTAATTCTCATCATAACCACATGGAGTAGGCATGCAATCATCTCTTAATTTCACAAATGAGGAATCTGAGGCACAGAGAAGGTAAGCAGCAGGAGACTTCTGACATTACACCCCAAATTTTCTCAACAGGATGTGGGACATGAATTTAACCCTGACACAAATGGAAACGGCCAGGAGAAAGCTTGTTCATAGGGACAGGTGAATTAAGAGTATATGAGGACTGGGGCTGTGGCTCAGTGGTAGAGCACTTGCCTAGCAAGTCTGAGGCACTGGGTTTGATTCTCAGCACTATAAATAAATAAATAAATAAATAAATAAATAAAACGAAGTTCCATCAGCAGTTTTAAAAAAAAGTATATGAGACAAATGACATGCCTGAGCGTTTGTTTCCGAGGTAGGAAGTCCCTGCCAATCATATCAGATAAATTAGGGAAGACAGATTATTCTTTAGTTAACAGGCTTCATGAAATTTCTGGAGCTTAAGTGTGGAAAAATCGGAAAAGGTCAGGGAAAAGGGGAAGAAAGCCAGACATTATGGGCTCTTTCCTCTGTTTTCAAGCTGAGATTAAACAGCTAAAAATAATGGAAATTGGAGGAGGGGTCTAGGGAGAAGGGAACTCTCCAGCAGAGTGAAAAAGAAGACGCATGTCTGCGTTTAAGACATGATCAGGTGCAGGAAGCAAACCTGGAGAAGCCTCGAGGCCCGGTATTCCCAGAGAGAAGCCTGGAGGCCATGGCCATGCTGATGGGTAGAAAGCCGGTAAAAGGACACTGCATGAAGTAAGAAAGTGTCACAGAAAGGAAAAACAAAAACAGGAAATGGTAAAGCATCCACAACAGGCAGAATCAGGAGGTCAACAGATCCTGATCCAAGATCAAAAGATCCTGTTTGAGGAAAGGTATAAGGTAAGTTAGAATGGTTTCAAGAGAGTCAAAACACTCGCTGTATCTTAAAATCCCAGAATTCCACATCCCATGAAAGAAATGAAGAACAGAGATGCACGTGGAGACTGAGTCACATGACCTGATGTCCTCAGGCAGGACTGTTAGTTCAGAAACTGTAAGGGCAAACACACTCTGTAGCTCCTCAGAGGGGAGGACAGACGCGCAGATTGGATTCCACACTCTAAACCACTTCTAACTAAATCAGAACACTATTTTATCTTCAAATACTCTACCAAATAACAATTGAAGAATGAAATAACTTACCAAGAAATATCAACTTCAACCGTTCTTAAAAGAAGACTTTTTGTTGTTTTAAATTTTTTAAATATTATCTGCAAAACAAAAGTCCCTTGGTGCAAATTGTAATCCAGCTAAAATCAGCCCCCCACACCAAAAAAGAAAAAAAAACAAAACCTGAATAATCCCTATCTCTAAACATTCTCATTTATTGTGTTGGGAGGGGATGGGGAAGTGTTCTGATTCAACCTGCCATCCAGAGACAAAAACAGAGGTAGTAAAGACAATTACCAGAAACGCCCCTTAGATTGCACAGCAAAAACTATACTATAACGCAGTGAATCCAATCAAAGAGATGTCTTCCTTTAAGTTAAGCAAAGTGACTTTACAATTCCCCACGTTGCTCAAGGATCAAGTCCCCCTGGCAGACTTTACAACTCTGCCTATCTCCTTGGTATTCCCTCAAACCAAACGCCAGAGTCCACCTCTCGCTTCAGGAGTCACACCTTGAACCTCACTGACAAGTAAGAACTTGGGGTGAGGTGAACCATACTAAGGCCCTCCCAGGTGAAGACGGTGGGTGTAGAGGTGGAGAGTAAAGTGGAACTGCGGGTGTAGGAGAGAAGGAGGACAGACCGCACCCCTGCCTCTGACCCCAGGGCCCCTTCTGATGATCCCACAGCTCTCGGGGTAGGTGGTCTCCAACCGGCTGGTACCTGAAGCTCACTCCGGGAATAACACTGGTTGGTGGACCTTTCCTAGATGGGGATCATTCTATTAAAAACACTTGAAATTAAAAAGGGATCTTTAAAAATTCTTGCGTAGCTGCGCCCTCTCCTAGGAAGTAGGGGTCCAGGCCACTACGCAGGGTCTCCGGAGCCAGTCCCCGCCCAACAAGTGCTCCAGCCCACACGGCGGGCTGCTGAAAAGGCTCGCGTGGCTGCTCCTCGGGGTTCTCCCAGGTGCGCGCACAGATGTGCAAACAGGGACGCAGGTGTGCTGCCGCGGGAATCGCTCCCAGGTGTGCACTCACTCGGGGCGCAAACCCAGCGGAGTACACTCAGGCGCAGGTACAAGTGTGCAATCACGGGGAGCGCTCCCAGGTGCGCACACACAAGCGCACTCGGGGTGCAGACGCGGACAGCGCTTCCAGGTGTGCGCACCGAACGTGCGCACTCAAGAGGCAGACGGGGAGTCCACTCGGGAGAGCAGACGCAAGTGTGCAATGAGGGTGGGGAGCGCTCCCCGCGTTCACACTCGGGGGCAGACTGGGCCGCGTCGCTGCGAATAACAGGTCACGCCAGGGAACCCCAAACCCCGGACTCGGTCCCCGTGCCCGGACGGGGTTCGCGCCTTCCCAACTGACCTCTTCCAGAAATTTAGTCAAGTCGTACACCTTGTGGTGCAGGATCACCCAGGTGCTTTTGCTGTTGTTGTGCTGCTGGATCTCTTCCAGGGTGTAGTACTTCACAGCCTTGTCCGACTGCTCGGCCATCTCGTACGAGTCGAGCCTCCAGGCCCTGCTCACACAGCCGTCCCGGGTGGAACACACACAGCGTCTCAGGCAGCTCCGCTCGGGACATTCCCGGAGCTCCCGGGCCGGGTGCCCCAGACGGGGCGGAGGCGCAGCGGAGGAGGCGGGCGGTGCACGGCCTCCGAGGACTGGCCGGCTTGCTTGTCACTCAAGAGGCCTCGCCCTCTGCCGACGCCCTCCACCACCCCGAGCGTGCGCCCGCCCGTCGCGCGAGTGTTGATTGGCTACGGGAGGCGCCTTTCGCAATCACCCGCTGCTGGAGCGCGCGAGGAGGGCGGGGCTTCGCTGAATCTGCGCAGAGGCAGCCGGAAGGGCTCCTGGGCGCGTCGAGCTCCGCGCGGTGGGGCCGGGAGGGCCAGGCGCAGCGTTCCCAGCCCCGAGAGGAGAGAGAAGGTAGTGTTGGGCCGCGCAGACTGCACCGAGTCAGCCCTGGGGCCTCCCGTTTGTTGGTACCCAAAATAGCAGTGCTTCTGTCCACAAAGTGGACGTCGTGGGGAAACTTGTTAACAAGCACAGATGTGAAGGGGAGCTTTGGACGTCTTCAAAGAAAAAAGAAGTTGCACAGCTTCCCTCAATTATGTGTTTTCCCAAATAAACTTCACCATAGTTTTACTTCCCTAACCTCCACGGGGAAGTGGGCCGGGTTGGAGAATGAGGTTTGGGTTACCTCATTCTCACAGGATAGCAATTCAGGGGGGGAAAGTTTCTCTGCTGTTCATCAGTGGCTTGGCAAGGACTTGAATTAGTCTCTTAACTGTCTTATCTCAACTGTGCTGTCTAGATAAGACCTAAATGATGAACAGCACTTCCAACAGAGTCTATAATATTTCCCCAGCTTGGCCCTCCACTGCCACTCTTGATGGAAGGTAAAATATCACACATGAAGGACTACAAATGTTTGCGAGAGAAAAAAACAAAAATAGAAAATTCCAGGATATTAAAGTCTTCTGGTAGTTTAGACCTTTTCAGCAATAGCAGTTGTTATGTCCACAGTCCAGTTGTGCCAGGGTAGTGGGGTAGGCTGTGAAAAGGCCGAAGACAGTATGGGAGACAGACAGACAAAGCTTAGGAGAGATTAGTGACTGCTTCAAGAAGAGTGCTGTGGCTACAGGATGAACAGGTAGCATCTTCATCCCTCAGGGCACTTTCCTAGGTAGTGCCTTTTTCCCAAACATAACCACAAATTGTTCAGCAAGACAATCCTTTCTGCAGTTTCCTCAGTCTGGCATCAGTTCCCACTTTGAGAGGAGTTTTATATGTTAGTCTGCAGAAGCAGTGACAACAATATTAGCTTGTTTGAATGAACTACATTCCAAGGAGCACCTATCCTGGTGTACTTGCAAGAAAGTAGCATTCCTACAGGTGACTTTGCCTTGTTCCCAGTGTGCATAAGAGAAAGCTTAGAGTCCTGCAAGATAGGATTGCTCTCATTGTTCCTTTAACTTGACTAGGCTTTTGAGAACAGAAAGGGGGTGTGCAAAGACATGGTGTTTTACTGTTCCCTTTTCTCTAGAGATGCAAAAGAGAGCAACACAAGAGGTTGCACATGTGGGCCATCCTCCCAGGGTCTCAGAGGTCGCTGCACATATTAGGTGCTTGGTGATTATTAGTTTTCCCCCTAACATACCTGTCCATAGGAATATGTGCCCACTGAAAAGAAAACAGTGCTCAAAGCATTTCAAAATATTTACGTTTTTTTCCCCAAAAGCCAATATTTCCAAGTGTAACATTCTGTTGTTCAGGAAATATTTCTAAGTACTATACGTGGCTAAAAGAAAGTAAATTATTCGTACTACCACACTAATCAGTTGTCGTTCATATATTTGAATGTTTTACTTCACATTAACCAACAAAAACTATGTAAGAATAATTTCCAAGGAAGTTCTGTACTTTTTTTAACCTTTGATTTTTAACACAACTTTAGGTTTACAGGAAGTTGCAAATATAGCAGAGAGGTCCTGTGTCCCTTCTCCCAGTTTCCCCACAATGATGGCATGTTGATGCAACTATAGTTCAACATCAAAGTCAGAAAATTGACACTGGTACAGTGTACATGCATTGTTCCACCCAGCTTTAGGATTTATGTAGGCGTGTATCACTACCACAATCAAGCTACAGAACTGTCCCATCACCACCAGGCTCCCGTTAGTGCTATCCCCTATAGTCACAATCACTTCCTTTATAGGTTTCATGTGACCTTTTTATTTCTCAAGAATCAATGGGATATGTGTGTGGCAAAATGGTCCCCTTGGACGTCCACAAGGTCACCCACTCTCTTCATGTCTTGAACTCCAACATCACGTCTCCGAGGCCTTCCTGACCACTTTACTAAATACACACAGTGGCCTCTAACAGCACTTCAGGCTTGTCTCCCAGGCACCCTTACCATCTTCCATACTAAGACTTCCTTCATTTATCCTCCTTATTGTTCCTCCAAACCCCGGTCTTCCTAAACTTCTGCCCGCGTATTGCACGGCAAGGGAATGGGTGACAGAGGGGTGGGCTGGTGAGAGCTGGGGAGGGGGGCTGCTGGGAGCACAAGGCCTGACAGGAAAGCAGGTCAGCTGGGAGCTGGGGGGAGTCAGCTGAGAGCGATGCCTGCTGGGAGTGCAGGGCCTGCTGGGAGCTGTGGGCGGGTGGGGGAATCTGCTGAGAGCGAGGGGCTTGCTGGGAGCACAAGGCCTGCTAGGAGCGCAAGGGCCACTGGGAGCTGTAGGGGTTGCGGGGAATCTGGTGAGAGCGCAGGGCCTGGGGGGGAAAGCAGGGCCTGCTGGGAGCACAAGGCCTGATAGGAAAGCAGGTCAGCTGGGAGCAGTGCCTGCTGGGAGTGCAGGGCCTTCTGGGAGCCTGAGACAGGGGAGGAATCAGGGCCTGGCGGGAAAGCAGGCTGGGAGAACACACCTGATAGGAGCACAGGACCTGCTGGGAGCTGGAGAGGAGGGGGGAACCTGGTGAGAGCAAGGGGCCTGCTGGGAGAACACACCTGACAGGAGCGGCCCCTGAGGGTGACCAGTAGGGTGCTGAGGAGGAAGGCACTAAGGTGTGCTGTCCTGTGTCCAGGGAGGCAGGGCAGGGCGAGGCAGCCCGTGGGCCCTGCTGCATGGGGCCTGGGCTGGTTGGCCCTCTGGGACAGCCCACCAGCTTCACTGCCCTGCAGCAGGGGGATAGGACAGGCTCCCTCCCTAAGCCCGGGTGCAGGGGGCTTTCCTTGGAATTGCGGGGTCCCTTAAAACGAATCAGGCTGGAAGAAGCTCTTGGGGCCTCCCCAGTTCCCATGCCTCAGGGGAGCTGGAGTCAGGTTTCAGCTACCAGAGTCCCCAGGACCACCTAGGGGACTTATCTGATGGGACAAAGCAGCCACACTTTGGTTTCTGGGCCAGTGTGTTTACTGTCCTTAAACAGGGACAGTCCTGTGATGCTAAGTGGGAAGTGCTGGGGTCCAAGCTGCCTTCTGCAACCTGGGAAAGTCAGGTGGACAGCACTCACACTCCCTTTCTCCGCACTCGGCCTGCACTGCCAAGGTGTGAATTAGGACAGCAGCCCCAACAGAGATTTCAGACCTTTCCTTTCATCACAAAGTGAAGAATAATATATTCCTCAGACTCCTCAGCCTCGAATTGCTTTACAGAGATAAAGGATTTTGTTTCCTGAAAACCAAACAAATTTGAAATGAAAGTTAAGATTAGCTTGGACTTGTAGAAGGAATTTATTAAATAATATGGTAGAAGCATTGCAAGAACCTAAATAAGCTGGTGTTTTGTAGTATTTCTACTTAAGTTACTGAGTTTGTGGTACGAAACTAACAGGTTTAAAAAACTCTGGGTTAGCTTGAGATGTGATGAAAATGTTCAAAATGTATTGCATTGGTAGTTGGACAACTCTGAAGATAGTAAACAAAAAGGAATTGGGGCACTTTATTTTTTTTATTTTTATTTATTTATTTAAAATTTTTTTTATTTTTTGAATTGGGGCACTTTAAGTAGGTGAATTTATGTTGTGGGAATTATATCTTAACATGCAGCAAAAAATTTTAGAAAAATCACTAGAAAACCTTAAAAGTAAAATGTTGGTAATATATAACTGATTAAGTTTGCTAATTTTGTTATCTTTTTCTAACATGACATCAGCTACATGATGAGTTGGTATTGAAACCCTGTTGGTGAAGTAAATATAGCTTACTATCTTTTTATTACTGTTTTCTTTAAGGGTCTGATTGCTGAGACACATAGTCAACAAGAAGATATGAATGAATCTAGGCAGCAGTCACTGTTCTTCATGACACTTCCAGATTTGCACAAACTCTGTGCTGTCCAGATAATATTGAGTAACAGGATGGCAGATACTGAGATTAGGAGTACACAAATGAAGATGTGCAGGTAAAAAATACATCATCTAGGTCAAATGGTGGTTCCATTCCCAGCTTTCCAAGGAATCTCCATACTGTTTTCCATATTGGCTGCACCAATTTGCAGTTCCACCAGCATTGTATGAGTGTGCCTTTTCCCCCACATCCTTGCAAACACTTATTGTTGTTTGGGCTCTTAATAGCTGCCATTCTGACTAGAGTGAGATGAAATCTTAGAGTAGTTTTGATTTGCATTTCTCTAACTGCTAGAGATGTTGAACATTTTTTCATGTATCTATTGATTGTGTATCAATATCTGAGAGGTGTCTGTTCAGTTCCTTGACCCATTTATTGATTAAGCTATTTGTTTTTTGGGTGTTTAGTTTTTTGAGTTCTTTATATACCTTAGAGTCCGTGCTCTGTCTGATGTGTGAGGGGTAAAAATTTGCTCCCAAGATGTAGGCTCTCTTTTTACCTCACTGATTGTTTCTTTTGCTGAGAAGAAGCTTTTTAGTTTGAATTCATCCCATTTATTGATTTTTCATTTTAATTCTTGTGCTATAGGAGTCTTATCAAGGAAGTTGGGGCCTACTTTTTCTTCTAATAGGCACAGTGTCTCTGGTTTAATTCCTAGGTCTTTGATCCATTTTGAGTTGAGTTTTGTGCATGGCAAGAGAGAGAGGGGTTTAATTTCATTTTGTTGCATATGGATTTCCAGTCCTAGCACCATTTGTTAAAGAGGCTG